CTGTCTGACCACAAGGTGCAGAAGTGACCAGTTTCAGACATCAAAGAACTAAAAATCAGATCAGTGGGTGCCCACCTTCCTGATACGATCACTGAAGACAAAGGTGTGCATAAGTAAAGGTGATGAAGAAAGCTGATGGTGCCAGGCTATCAAAAGATATAGCATCTGGGGTCTTAAAGGCTTGAAAATAAACAAGTGGCCAACTAGCTCAGAAGCAACAAAGCATGGAAGAAGCATAACAGCATGTGTGACCACGAGCTGTCGAAGGGATCTGGTATCAAGCATCAAAGAACAAAAAATATCATTGTAAAGGTGGGTGAGTGCAGAGTAGAGACTCAAAGCCCATCGGTAGGCAACTGGACACCCCCTTGCTGAAGGGTTGAGGGGAGAAGATGAGCCAATCAGGGTGCAGGGTAGCAACGATGAAACAAATAACTTTCCACAGTTGAAGTATGTATGGTGATGGGAGTCGTGTGAGCCCCTAATAAAATGATTTTAAAAAAAGAAAAACAAAAAAGAAACATTTAACTTTCCTCTAGTTCTTAAATGCTTCCCCTCCCCCCACTACCATGATCCCAATTTTACCTCACAAATCTGGCTAGACCAGAGGATGTACAGATAGCAACTGGAAACACAGGAAATTCAGGACAGATGACTCCTTCAGGACCAGGTGTGAAAGGGGCGAGGCCTGGAGGGTGAAGGGAATGTGGGGTGGAAAGGGGGAACCTACTCCAAGAATCTAGGTATTGCCTCCTCCTTGGGGGAGGGACAGCAGAGAAGAGGGCGGGCAGAGATGTCAGACAGTGTAATTTATGACAAAACTATAAGAAGCTGTGAATTATGATGGGTTCATGAGGGAGGAGGGGAGGGGAGGGAGGGGGAAAATGAGCAACTGATATTAAGGGCTGAGGTGGAGGGTAAATGTTTTGAGAATGATGAGGGCAGTGAATGTACATATGTGTTTGATACAGTGGATGTGTGTATGGATTGTAATGAGAATTGTACGAGTCCCCAATAAAATAATTTAAAAAAAGAAAAAAGAAAAGGGTCTGCTTATCCTAGAAATGTTTCCGTTTGTTCCCAATACAATCAAGTTAACTCAGTCAAGTTTACTCTCCTAAAATGCACATGTATCACTTATATACTCCTGTATAAGCCGAGTTTTTCCAGCACATTGTTAATGCAGTTTTTGTGGTAAAATTAGGTGCCTCGGTTGATATTCGGGTCGGTTTATATTCGAGTATGTACTGTAAATAAACTTCAGGTTGTTGTTATGCAAGGTTGCAAATTCTAAACACAAAGACCCCTCAGACTTGAGTGTTCTGTGAGACCAGGTTACCCTAAAGAGCTGCAGAGTTCCAGTTTCCCCTCACAGGATTCAGCTGTGTATAACGGTTAGCAACCATTTTTTTGGAGTGAGTTGGGGTTTTCTGGTTCAGCTTACAAATGTATGAACTCAAGAAAGCGTCCTTCTGTCTTGTAACCTATGTTACAACTCAGACTTATTAAAAGTCAGAAAACTTTGTCTACTATGTACCACAGACAAAAGCAGGTAAGTGACTCAACAGAAAAAAGGTAACAAATGGCAAAACCATTTAGGCTGCATTCCCAACTGTATTCCTCACTGTTATTTTGTAGCCAGGAAAACACTGAATTCTTCAACCCAGGTGAACATGTCCTTGCCACTCAGCTCAGTGGTACTCCTTCACCATTTCAGTTTAGACCATAGCTTTACGTGTTTAGGCATAAACCAGCACAGTGCTTTGCACACAGAACAATACCAATATTTACTGTATAATTTAACCGCCATATCATTTGAAACTTAAAGCATCACCCAAATAGCATTTGAGTACAATATAGTGGAAAACAGAAGAAAAGTCATACTTACTTTGGTTCGATAATTCCATGTTGGGGTGTTACTGTAAGGCAATGTGCTGGCCAGTATAGTTCAAATTTCAGTGACCTAACAGAATTATTTAAAATCTGGAAACATCGAGTTTTTGTCATGTCACCTATTGTGTCAGATAAATATTATTCATATTATTAGCGAGAAAGGCAAATATTAATGAACATAAACCCTAAATAAAAACATTAATGGACTAACTATATAAATTTCAAATTCTTGATAAAATAAGTCCATTAGTTACTCTCCTGGGAACTATATAGATACCGGCAATACAGAATAGTTAAAGAAAAAAGGGAATCTAAACATTGTTACCATATTCCTTTGACATAGACACATTTGTCCCTGCTCTGAACCAACTAATGAATGTTTAGGCCAAATGCATTTTCTAGAAAAGTGCCAGGGAAGAACTAATACATGGGGTTCTGTCATTTTAAAGATTTTAGAAGCTTACATTGAAGAATATGGTCTCAAATCAAGATGCTACAGTCAGATCTGAGTTAGGTCTCTAGTAGGTAAGAGGAAGACTTAGGCAAATAACAATCACAAGTCAGGATGCCAAAGGTTCACATGTATATATCCCAGATATGCCAAAGATCCAGAAAAGGGGAAAACCTGGGTTCTAGAATGCACTCCTGATGTGCTGTTATTTGTTATACTCACATGAACAAGGAGCTATCAAAATCAAGTGCTCGGGCTGGACAGTCCATATTTCTTCAGAATCTAGTTTATTGTGAGATGGGTGAACTGCTTCTAAAAGAAGTGGGGAACCTTGAGGACCTTTAACTGGTAAAACATCCAAGGAAACATTGCCACCATGTTTTCCAGAAGTTCCAAGTTCACTAGAAATTTATTTAATAATTAAACACACGGGAATTAAAATCAACAAAAAGCCAAATTGTGTCACATCTTATGCCAATTCCTGATATATCTGAAATGTATTATGACAAAAATTCTAGTATACATACCACATACTCTAGTAAATAAAAATACTTGACATTGTGTATACTTAAAGTAAAGAATAACAATATTGTGTTTGATGTCTTAGCCAAGAACCATAATGCAAGAAAGGGAAGTGAAAAACATGAAAATTGGCACAAAAGAACACCATACTTATTTGGAGATAATACTATAAACGGTCTGACCCAAGCCATGTCATTTTCAATTGGCTCATATGCATGTGGAAGCTGGACACTGAATAAAGAAGACTGAAGAAGCAGCGAACACGTTTGAATGAAAATGCCTGGCAAAGAATATTGAAAGTGCTACGGACTGCCAAAAGAACAAATAGATCTGTCTCAGAAGAAATACAGCGGAATGCTCCTTGGAAGCAAGGGCAGTGAGACTTTGTCTCATGCACTTTGGTCATGTTCTCAGGAGAGCCCAGTCCCTGGAAAAGGACATCATGCTTGGTAAAGTCGCGGGGCAACAAAAAGAGGAAGACCCTGAAGAAGATAGGTTCACAAAATGACTGCACAGTGATGGGCTTGAACATAACAATTGTGAGGATGGTGCAGAACCAGGTACTGTTTCATTTTGTTGTACACAGGATCACTATGAGACAGAGAAGACTTGATGGCACCTATCAAACATACAAAACATACAAACAAAACACAGACTTCAAAAGAAAATTATTGGAACTGACGGAAAGATCCAGCAGTGTCACGACATATAATGCACATGCAAAAATCCACCAGATTCCTTTACACTAATTTCCTGAAGAGGAAATCAGGAAAACAACACCATTTGTAATAGCCACCCAAGAGATGAAATACTTAGAAAGAAATCTAAAAGACTTATACAAAACAACAAACTACAAAACACCATTACTGTAAGAAGCCCAAATGCATCATGTTCATGGATCTAAAAACCCACTGTCATCGAGTCCTTTCTCACTCATAGCGACCACATTGAGCTGGGTAGAACTGACCCTGTGGGTTCCTGAGACTGTAACACTTTATGGGAGTAGAAAGCCTCGCCTTTCTCCTGTGGAGCAGCTGGTGTTTTCAAATTGCTGTTAGCAGTTCCCTACACCACCAGAGTTCCAGATTGTTAATGGACAGTAAGACTTAATATTATGAAAATGCTAATACTTCCAAAAGTGATCTACAAATATAATGTAAGCCTAATCCAGAGTCCAATATCATTCTTTAAAGAGATTGGGGGGAAATCACCAACTTTATAAAGAATCCAAATTAGCAAAGCACCACTAAAGAGAAACAAAGCAAGAGCCCTCACACTTCCTACTATCAAACCTATCAGACACTCATAGTAGTGGTACAAGGACAGACACATAGATCAATGAAACAGAATTGAGAATGCAGAAGAAAATATTTCCACCTAAGAACAGCTGATCTTTCACAAAGGGCTGAAATGCAGTAAATGGGGAAGAGACAGACTCTTTAGCAAATGGTGCTATCAAAACTAGATATTCATTAACAGAAAATGAAACTGGAATCATACACAAGGAATTCAAATTGGATCAGAGATTTAAAGGTAACACCTTGAAGTATAAAGAACTTCAATAAAAAAGGACAACCGTAAAGCTCTTAATACAAGACATAAATAAACTATCAACTGTAACTGAACACACACAAACAGCAGAAGGTAAAATAGATGACTGGATCTCCTAAAACTGGATACTTAACATCCTCTTAAGGATTTTAATCCAAAAGAGTTCAATGAGAACTCAGACTGGAGAAAATAGTTTTGGCAATGATCTATGAGACAAGGGACTATTGCTAGGCGTCATCCAGTTGGTGCTGACCCATAGTGACCCTATGCACAACAGAACAAACCACTGCCTGGTCCTGCATTATCCTTACAATTGTTCCTATGCTTGTGATCATTAGCCATCGGATGACTGCAAAACATGACAACAATGATTATTATGTGATTCCAGCATTACTAGCAAAGTTAAAATTTAAAAAAAAAATAGAACATGGCAAATGCTTTGAGAGTATGGAAAGTAAGGAACTCTCTCATAAACTGCTGGTAAGCCTGTAAAATGGTGCAACCACTGTGGAAAATGGTATAACGCTACCTCAAAAAACTGGAAATAAAAATACCACATAACCCAGTAATCCCTCTACCTGGTGTATATCCTAGAGAAATACGAGCTTATATCATTTGTAGCAATGTGTTGATTCATGGAAGCAATATTCACAATAGTAAAAAGATCAATTAAATGGATAACAAACAATTGTATATAAACACAACAAAATTCTTTGTAAGTTAAAGAGAAATGATTAACCTAAGAAATACCTTATAACATGGGTGAAGTTGGAGGACATTATACTGAGAGAAATTAATCAATGACAAATATTATATAAGACCACTACTGTACAAAGAATAGTTCAAAAGAAAATTCTTTGATGGTTACTAGTGGTGGCTAGTAACCAAACCCAGTGTCAGTGATTTGATTCCAACTCATATCGGCTATATATAGGATTTCCCAGACTAAATCTTTATAGCAAGAGGCAGGCTCATCTCTCTGCTGAGAAGTTGGTGAGTTTTAAGAGGCAATGTCGGGGCTTGAAGTGCAACACCTAGTCCATACAATAACTGGCTATAGGGCAGATACATGTTAACAGGTGAAAGGAAAAGCAATGTACAGGAAGAAGGACGTCAGTCAAAAATGATACAGGCAAGGGAAGACAATGGGAGAACCAGTTACATACATAACCCTGCAATCACGATGTTCTGTGAGTAGATGCATGGATAGATACACAGGTTGAATTGGGTGTGGGAGGGAAAGGGTGAGTATATGTGTATGTTTACTATAGGTTATTGGTCCATGGGACCTTTGTGCAAACAAATCCAGGAAGATGGTGGTATATACAGGGAGCAAAGTTATGAAAACATCTTAGTTAGGCTTCTAAGAGCAATGGTTACTCTAGGGCTGGGGCAGGAAAATATAAGATGAGCCTAGAACATCCTATTGTGTTAGTAAATACAAAAATGCTCCAAGAATAATGTGGGACACAGCAAAGGAATCAAAGAGTCAGCTTGAAGGGACTAAAGAATGATAGCAGATTATAATACACTAACTCCATGAATTCATTCTAATGAGTAAGCCAATGCAGGAGGAAAGTAAATCTCTTCCTCATAGTGGAAAGTCAATTAATAAATGTGAAACAGAAAACAGAATTAGAAATGTACTAAATCCTAATATGATACTAATGATTCAGGAAATATAATTAAAGTATGACAAAGTTTCATAAGGAACCAATTATTTTATAATCTTAACTATCCTTGTACAAGAGATTAATTTTACAGTAGAGCAGAAATATCTGTCAGACAACATCTTAACTTGTAATTAAAATATCACTGATGAAAGGCCATCTGTGCAGATGAAATAAGAAGTGGAGAATAAAAGATAATGACATACAGGCAAAGATCATCTCTACTATAAATAATCTTGAAATCTGTCAAAAGATTTATTTTCTTTTTACCTTTTAGATTCCAAGCTAGCTTTGGAAGATGGCTGAAGAAATTCTCCAAAAGAAATGGAATCGCTGAATTCTCCCATCACTGACAGTATAATTTTACGCATGGTTCCATAAAAAAGCTGAACATCATTAGGCCGCTGGGGAAGATCATATACTACAGTGGAAAATGATGTTTTGAGATGCATGAATCTTTACATAGTTACACAACAAAAAGAACCCAATATTATATACTTCAAATCACAAAATTTTTTAGGTTGAGTGTAGGTACTGACTGGCATGAAAATTATACACACCACACCACCACTGAGGAGGACAGATCAGAAAAGAAACACGGGTGTGTTAGACAGGGTTCTCTAGTGAGATAAAACCAAATTGCTGATAATTTAATATATTTATTTAATAAAGATAATTAGATATATAACAAGAAATGAACTGTTAAATTATATACAGATAGATAAATATATAATACAAGAAAGAAACAGTTAAATTATAAAGCACTACAAATGGCTCAATTCAACTCACTGCCATGAGAAAGTTGTGAGAGACTAGCAGTCCTTCAAGTCTTGTCTGCTGCCAGGTCTTCCTCTATTTATAGAGAGAGCTAGGCTATGTCAGCATAGCAGCCAATTACAAGGCAGGTCACCAACTGCCAGTCCCCAGCTCCAGAGATGTCTTAAAGGGACCTCAACTTACAGAGACACAGTCCACAGGTTAGACATCCCACAGGTAGTGTAGCCTTTAAATTGAGGCACAGAACAAGCAAGGCAGCCGCACACTGGTCCGATGATCAAAGAGCGAGAGACAAGAAAGACAAGGCTCACCAAGCCATTTATCTCTCTGCCCTTCAGTTAATCCCACTTGTGTTTATCGGCCAGGCTGGCACAATAAATTATCTCAACGGGTGAAGGGAGACAGCAGACAGTGTAAGATATGAAAATAATAATTTATAAATTATCAAGGTGGGGAAGGGAGGGAAAAAAAGAGCTGAAACCAAGGCCCCAAGCAGAAAGAAAATGCTTTGAAAATAATGATGGCAACATATGTACAAATGCGCTTGATACAATTGATGTATGGATTGTTATAAGATCTGTAAAAGCCCCAAACAAAATGATTAATAAAAAAATTTAAAAGAATTATTTCCTATCTAAAAAGTTGTAAACATTATATGGCAGCAAATATTTATATAAAGTTTAGTGTGGGCCAGTCAGTTTTAAATATTTATATATATGAGAAGCTTCAAAGAGTTCATGGAAAAATGGAATTAAAAGGTATGGAATTGAAATTCTTCCAAATATATTCTGAAGCCCCCTCATTTATATCTAAACTTAGTGAATTTTTTTCAAGTCTTTGAGGATTGAATTATCATCTCTACTTCAAAGATAAGAAATGTAAAAGCAAAGAGGTTTAAGTAATTGCTGAAGGGTACAGAATTTTAAGTGGCAGTCTCAGAGTTTTAAATAAATCTAGAAGGCACTATTAAATATAACAATATAAGATCCTAAATTACATCATTCCTACAATTTCTCTTTATTTCATATTTCAGAAACAATAAGTATCTCCAACTCTCATGGCTTGTGTAACTTGTGCCCATGAACCCATGGTTTCAAAGATGTACAAGTTAACAATTCATGTACTGGAGTCTAATAAGAAGTCCTACACATGTATAAATTCCTTAGTTCAGCAGTGTTTTACCAGTGACTAAAATAATGTTATAATCAATAGAATTACCTTTAAACCACATGGGGATGATTTATGATGTACTACAAAAAAATGATAATGATGTCTCTAAAAGTAAACCAAGGACATATAGTAACCATGCTTAGATAAAGGATTTTGAGCTCTCACTTGATCAGACCTAATGTAAGAACAAATTGCTCTTGTGACATAGCTCCGCCCAGCACTCGCCCTCTCATGTGGAGATCACTGAAGATATGGCTGCCAGTCAAGTGTGCTGAAGAAATTAGATGATGCCCAGCTACCAGGGAAAACTATCATCTGGAATATAAAGGCTTGTCTCAAAACAAGTAGCCATCTAAATGAGCAGTCACCTAGGTCCACAAGGAAGCAGCACACCAGCCTGTGTGAACCAAGGACTGTAAATAATAAAATCCAACCCTGGAGTAGGGAACAGTATCAAAGCCTAAATTCTAAATATCTGATTTCAAGAACACTATGGACAACAGTGGAAGACCAAAACCCATTTACAGGGGTAACATGGAGAGGATGTCAAGGAGTCCATGTAGAAATACTGTCCATAAACTAGAAAAGTTAATAGAACTAATCGCAGACAAAGAACATTTTAAGTGGATTTTAGCAGTGGTATTTAGGCTGGAATATAATATATTTTCATAAGATCTCCCCTTGAACCCATTTTGAACTTATCCTAAATTTTAATATTTCCTATTTTCTTCTAGATTGAGATCTTTCTGTTTTATGTGATCGTTGCTGCTGGATCCTTTTTCTTGTTTTTGTCCTTGTTTTGTATGTTTTTCTGTATAGAGAAGCTGAGATGGAGGAAGTTATGAAGACCATGTTGGATGAATGATTGCCTGTGGACAGGAGGCCCTCGTGGGGTAATGGTTACTCACTGGGCTGCTAAATGCTAAGTCAGGTGTTTGAAACCACTAGCTGCTCCTCAGGAGAAAGATTAGACTTTCTGTTCCCTTAAAGAGTTACAGTTTCAGAAACTCACAGAGGCAGTTCTATCCTGTCTGATAGGGTTACTGTGAGTTCACATCAACTCACGGGCAGTGAGTATGGTTTTGGGAGGGCATGGATGGGGAAGATGGGAGAAACGGGGAGTCAACACCAATTGGTACAAGAAATTAGAAAATATTCTAAACTTAACTGTGCTGATGATTGCATAATCCTTGATATGACTGAATATCTGGATTTTATGATGTTATTAAATTAAACTTAAATTAAATTTTTAAATATAAGCACTGTTAATATATCGGTATGCTTACCTATGTAGCTATACAAGGACACATTAGATTGTTTTCTTTTTTACCAAAATGAGATTTTACTATGCAAACTTTTAATTTAAAGTATTTTTTTCTTGATAAATGAAGAATTTCCTATGCCATTTAATAAAAATTCATATAATTGTTTATTTAAACACACTAACATTGAGTTAATGCTGATGCATAGCAACTCCCTGTAGGTTTTTGAGATGGAAATGGTTTACAGGAGTAGAAAGCCCAGTGTTTCTACTGCAAAACTGATGGTGGTTTTGAACTGCCGACTATGCGGATCATAGCCCAACACATAACCACTACATCACCAGGGCTTTAATGGCCTCAAAATATCCCATTGCACAATTAAACAATCTTTAATCTTAGTCATCTAGTTTAATTTCTATTATAAATAATAATACTGTGAACTGTGATGAAAGCCTTGAAACTTAAATTTCTTACACAATTAAAATCCCACAGTACATATATTTTAATGAGAAACAGACACTACTAAATTCATTCTACTCCTCTTGTTTACATGCCTAACCACAGAATAAATATTAGCAAAAGAAAAACCGAAACCCATTGCCAGTGGGTTAATTCTAATTCATAACAATATTAATAACAAATTAACATTTGTGTAACAAAGCCCTTTCAAATTTTAAGAGATATCTCTTGACAAAGCTACACAGATGAACTCTACATAGAAAGTTTGGTTTTATTCTATTTGCTAAATAAGGGAGTTGATTTTCAGTGAAGTACTTTATACAAAGTATCATGGGGTAACTGCAGGTCAAACTCCCCTGACACCATTATCTTAAACTAATACTTTTCATACTTACATCACATTATTGATCGTAGTGATTATTATAAAGGACCTAAAACATGAGATATGTTGAAGAAATCTTACCTTCAGTGACTAGCAGCTCATCTTGAAATGCTTCAGCAAAATCAATGTTCTGCAGTAGACTATGTTTTGGCAGTATCTGTTCTATAATCTTTGGTTTGTGCAAAAGGGCTCTGCCAGGAAAAATTTAATTCAAAAGTGGTTTTACATATAAAAAGGCCTCAACAGTTTTCATTAGTCAGTTGACAAATCCCACTGAAAACACTGACAATACTATGATAATTTCATGCTTTAAACCTAGTACGTGTTTTTTTTTTCACCATAAAAGTTTTTAAAGTTCCCTTAGAAGGGTATACAAGGTAGTAAAATTAAATAACTTTAGTAAAATACAACTATCGAAAGAGAATCCCTTAGTGCAAGAGTAAAAATAAGAAACCAGGACAGATAAACTCCTCAGGAACAATAATCAGAGTACTGATACCAGGAGAGTATGGGGAAGGAAGGGGGAGACAGGGGACACCGATCACAACAATCTACATATAAACCCCTCGCTGGGGGATGGACAACAGAAAAGTGAGTGAAGGGAGACATTGGTCAGTGTAAGACATGGAAAAAAAATTAATAAATTATCAAGGGTTCATGAGGAAGGGAGGATAGGGGAGGGAGGGGAAAAAATGAGGCGCTAACACCAAGGGTTCAAGTAGAAAGAAAATGTTTTGAAAATGATGATGGCAACAAGTGTACAAATGTGCTTGACACAATGGATCAGATGTATGGATTGTGATAAGTATTGTAAGAGCCCCGAATAAAATGATTTTTTTAAAAAAGAATAAGTTTAGATTCTTTAGGGGTTTCCATTTTTATCATTTGTATTAATTTGGTTTGTTATAAATTTGTCTCAGAAAAAAAGGAATATGCTAAGAAAACAACACATAAAAGGTATAGAGGGAAATATTTTTAAAGTTTTATTGATATATCACACAATTTAATTGTTCAATCATATCAAGATTTGTGCAATCACCACAATAATTTTCAGAACATTTTCTCATACTTATTCTTGTTAGCTCCCCATTTCTCCCCTTCCTCCCATGCATGCCTGTAGACAATTAGCAACCCAGTTACTATCTGGATTTCACATACACAAATCATACAAACCCCAAAAGTAAACTAACAAAAAGAAACCCAAGAATGACTAACAAAACAGAAAAATATCAATAGAAAAGAAAGCAGAGAATACTAAACACTGAAATGACTTTAAAGCAGATCAAGGGGAGATTTTTTTTAATGCAATAAGATATTGCATTTTAATCCAATGATATATGCCATAATTGACTTTACAATGGAGTCTGTCGAATAGCAAGGCTATTCACCCGCCTGGACTATGGTCAGAGGGGATTCACTAGAGTCGTTTGTAGAGACCCTGCAAACAAATGGATTTGGGACTTCCACTGTTATCCATACATAGCCTTCTGCAAATTGTTTTCACAATTTAGGCTCTGACAAAATTCTCTCCTCCAGATTTAGATTTTTTTCCTGTCCCCCACCTCCCAGTTTTACTGGACATAATGCACATCAATTTTTATTATTTTCAATCCTTAAATCACACAGGCTGGTGTGCTTCTTCCATGCGGACTTAGTTGACACCTCACTTAGATGGTGCTTGTTTGAAGACAAGCCATTATGATCCTAGGTGCTTTGCTACAGCACCTATATATCTTCGGTGACCTCTCCATGAGTGTGAGCATGAAGCAGGGCCATGTCATAAGAAGTAATTCTTCTTAGATTGGAGCTAGAATTACCTATGAGCCCAAATTCCACTCCTATATCTATGATTAACATATTTCACTTCAGAGACATTATAATTTTATGACAGAGAACAATATAAATCATCCCCCCTGGGGCATAAGGTAATTCTATTGATTGTTTCATTAATTTAGCCAATGCTATAGAATTGAATACACTATTAAGAAAAGGAAATTATACAAGTATGGGCCAGCTACGAACTACACTACATTAACTGTTGACTTGTACAGACTAAACTCTTAAGTGACTGCACACTATTTACACAAATGATGAGGGTTGGTGATAGGGTAAAAACTTTAAATAATATTCACCCGCTAAGGCAAAATATCATGCCTACCTGATTAATACACGGTATAAGAAAGGAGGTGGGTAAAAAAGGAGGAGATGCATTAAAATAGTAAATATATGGTAGTCCTGGACCAGTATTCATTGGGCACCAGAAGGAAACATTTAAATATACTACATGAAATATGTTCATCTGCCTCTTCCAGGGAATCTTTGAGGTGAGAGAACTGAAATGAAGACTTCTCTATCAATACTCCTATGCCCACAAAGGAAATCATATTGCTGTAAATTTATCACAGATTCTAAAACAATATAATGATTTCTACGATCCATTAAGAAAAGGGGGGGGCAAAAAGGGAAATGAAAACAAAAAACAAAACAAAACACTGGTAATCAGATTTCTCCAAATATGTTTCCATCTCTAAAACACATAATTTGACCTGTTATAACCTCAGGTGGCATCTTTTAAATTATTTATTTTTAAACATTCCAAGAGTCTTCAACAGATTTAAAAAAGGGGCGGGGGGATTTCTCAAATTATGCCTCAGAAAAAAAACACAAAGAATATAACTCAAAGGACTGTAAGTAAAGACTGGCATATAGATATCCTCTCACCTAGTAAGTTAATGATTTCCCTTGCTCACTAACACAAGCACTACTTGCTGCCTGGGCTACAGTGGCATTTAGACTGAGGTGTCACCCCTTAGTGTGAGGTGAGACTCGATGTGTGACTCAATCTCTGCTTGTACAGGTTTTTTGAGTCAGATTTTCAGTTTGACTATAAAGCAAAGTTACAAACACCAAGCAACCTCTACCTCCCCCTCCCCTTGCACTGTGCTGTTCAAGTACAAAGCTCAAGTTTGGAGTCATTTGACAACCTATCACTGTAAAATAGTTTACAATATTCTTTAAGATAAATAACCTACCTTCGATACTGTTGTCTTGAAATTTCATCACCACCAAATAAGTATATAGTTGATAGCTCCGTTGTAGTTCTACAACCACTCTCTCTGTCTGATGGTGTGTATATAATAGTAATATGCTGATCCAAGAAAAAAATTTGAGAGTTAAGTTTTTTCCCCCCCTTGATTACGAAAGTAGGTCAAAAAGCATTGCTGGAAAATAAAAAGATATTGCTTCTTGACATCCTCCCATCTAGGTCTATATACTTCTGAAGGAAGAGTTTCCATATTTTTAAGCCTTCGGGGAAAATCTTGGCTCTTTCATTTATATGTCAAAATAAGTTTTGCCATCCTCTAAGGACACAAATTGTGTTCTTTTCAAAATGTCCTTTGAGTTTGGGGAATGAAACAGAAAGAAATCTAAAGGTGATCGGGGCTACAGGATGGGTTGTGGGAACTAACACTAAGGGAAATATGGCTAGGACTATATTCCCTAAAAGAGGCGATCTGGAAAGCTAGTCTTCCACGGTAGGAAAGCCACCACTTCAGTAAGTTAGAGATAAAGTCCATTACCCTGCTTTAAATATCATTCCCATAGATTCTCCCTTAACAGCTATGCTGCCTTAAAGTGAGCACACGGTCGATTCTGTCTCCCTATAGAAGCAGACATTCTTGTTATCTCCTCCCATCCCCTCATGCCTTTCCCCAAAGGTTCCCTCACCGTGAGCCCAGGGACTTTACGGTGGTTACCACCCACCTTGTGACATATGTAACTACTGAATATGCATGTCTTATGGCTACCTACAAAGATCCCAAGACAGTAAAGATTCTTTCTCTCTACATGGACCTGGCTGCTGAGATCATGGCTGTCCCAGAGGTGAGCATGCTACCATAAAATGTGTCTCACTCCTTTATTTTATCTTCTCTATCTCTCCTATCTTCTATGACTTTACTATAATCTTTATATATTGTAACCATACATTGTGCCTACAGAACGTGCGGTTGTTAGATGCTGGTTTACTCTAACAATGTGTGGGTTAAGTTTTCTCAATGAAGAGCCATGCTCATCCTTGACAGCAGTGTAGCAACCATGAAACATACAACTTTCCTCTGGTTCCTAAAGGCTTCCTCTCCCCACCCACTACCATGATCCCAATTCTACCTTACAAATCTGGGTAGACCAGAGGATATACACTGGTACAGATAGGAACTGGAAACACAGGGAATCCAGGGCTGATGATCCCTTCAGGACCAGTGGTGAGAGTGGCGATAGCAGGAGGGTGGAGAGAGGGTGAGGTGGAAAGGGGGAACCGATTACAACTACCTACATATAACCTCCTCGCTGGGGGACGGACAACAGAAAAGTGAGTGAAGGGATATGTTAGACAGTGTAAGATATGACAAAATAATAACTTATAAATTATCAAGGGCTCATGAGGGAGGGGGGAGGGAGGGGAAAAATGAGGAGCTGGTGCCAGGGGCTTAAGTGGAGAGCAAATGATTTGAGAATGATGAGGGCAATGAATGTACAGATGTACTTTACACAATTGATGTATGTATGGATTTTAAAAAGAGTTTTACAAAGCCCTAAAAAAACAATAAAAAAAAAAAAAGCAGGTGCATTGTCGCGATGGGAAAAATTCCTTGGAGCAATTTTCCTAGGCTTTTTCCTCACCAGTGCAATTTTTAGTTTTCTAAAACTTCTTGATAACCCCCTATGTTTTTCAAGAAAATGTATCAATATTACTAAAGGAACTATAGTCTTTAGCCATCCAATGACTACAGAGGCATTTAACATGTTTTGTTTTAGAATAAACCCTTCATGCATCAACTAGAATCCTAGTAGCAATATCTTTGATTTACTCCTTAAGTACGTAATCTGATTTGGAATAAACTATTTTGTAAGCCTAAAAAATTCAACAAAGATGTGAGTGCATATGCATAGAATTTATAAATGGATTTAAAAATAAATATACATTTCTGCACTGACATTCTGCTTATAAAATACCTATTAATTTACTCTAAAAATTAGTTCAAATTTTAAGGGAGAAACTTTTATGCTTACTTTTTGTGTTCTTTCCTTGAGCACAAATTGATCTGGAAAAATCCTCATCACTTTAGGATCCAACAAAATTTTTTTCTGAGAATCCTTAAAACATACTGCTTTAACAAAGGCTGCTCGAGAACCAGTGTTCCGAACAGAAAAAACAACTCTCCGTTCTTTACCAGGAATTAGGCCATTCACTGCAACCATGTAATGGTCAGATAATCTCTTAACATTTTCCAAAATAAGATTACTTGTTCCTCCATATCCAGACAAGGGTATCTAAAAGCATAGAATAAACACGTCCAAAATTGTCTTTATATAATAGATAGCAGAGGATTAAACTGTATAAAAAAATTTTGTTTGGGCATCCTGGCTAGTAATATTCCCATTTTCATAACAACATTATAGTAAAGACTTTTATTTTATGGGGAAACAAATCAAAAAACTGCAAATGACTTACCTTCCAATATACTAATTATGTAATTGTTAGAATAGTCAAGCTTACATAACAGAACAATACAAAGATTATCTTTAAATGCTTAAGTAAATCATATTGATATTTGTAGTGTGCTTTGTAATACATGAAGAAAAAAAAGAATTGATGGATAACTATTAAATATATAATAAAAGCAACATTGTTACATGCTGTCCCAACCATTTTGAGTCATGGTGACCCTATGTAACAGCAGAATTGTTCCAGGGTTGTCTTGGTTGTAACCCTTAAGAGGGTATCTAACCCAAACTTGCTTGGCTGTTACAACAATTGGTTCTGCTCTAGATCATCAGGATATTCATTTTCTTGAAAGTCTTGCTTAAGAATTCAAATTATTATAAGCAAACTTGAAATGAATAAAAGTCTATTCTGGATAATCTGAAAGAAGCAACCCATGTTAGTCCTCTGGCCCTATTTTCTTCCCTCAATAATTAATAATTTTTAAACTATATTTGCTTTGAAAATATTTACATAAATGGGTTTAAATAATTTTTTAACTGATACTGGGAATAAAAAATATATAAAAACTATTGCCTTTATATACCCAGTATCTAGAACAGATTTAGCTAATGATATGAATAATATTTGCTGAACTGCAAGAATGAGAACCATTACCTAAAATAGCTCACACCTTGACTAATCCTAAAACATGCTAAATAGTTGGTATATTTCAAAATTATCAAATAAATAATTTAAAGGCATTGGAAGAGAATGCTACTTACACAAATACTATGTTGCCTGCTTTTATTAGAATTCTACAAAAATATAATTCCCAAACTTGTTTTTAAATTTAAGTTCTTGTTTGACTCATAAAAAAGGAATATATATAAATTTACCAAAATTAAACCAATTGTTACGAAGTCATAAATTACAAGGAAAAGGGAAATAAAATAGTCTTACTGTGAACTTAACGCCTAGTTGAGATCTAATTCCAAGTTGTTTAATTTCTAGTTTAGCCAACATACAAGATAATCGAGTAGGCGCAAACAATACAGAGATGTTAATGTCTTCTTCTGGATGAATTCTGATCTCACAATTACTGGTCAATCGATCTTCTGAACCAAAAATGTTCTGAAGCTACAATTTAAAAATAGGCATTGCTTAAAACAGGGCAGTGGCAGAAATACAGCATACCATATAAGCACATGAAGAAATTTTCTCAATCACTAGCTGCCTACTGAGAAATGCAAATCAACCATGAGATACCACTTCACCCCACCATTGACAGCAAAGTCAAGAAAGAAAAAAATAACAAATGTTCAATGGGCTGAAGAGACACTGGAACCTGCAGACACTACTGGTGGGACTGTGCATCAGTACTACCACCGAGGAAAGTGATATGGCACTTCCTCAAAAATTGAGACTGGACGTACCAAATGACCCAGCAACAGAGCTACCTAATAAGTACCCTACAGATTAAGGAACACAGCATGAAAAATATATGAACACACATGTTCACTGCACCACTATTCTTAATAGTAAGAAGGGAGAAACAACCTAAATGGCCATCATGGAATAAATGAATAAATAAGCCTTGGTACACAGATACAATGAAATAACTACACTTCGTTAAAGAATAATGATGAACTGCGAAAAACCTCAAGACATGGATGGACTTAAAGGACTATATGCTGAGTGAAATTAGTCAAAAAGAGGGCAAATGCTATACGAAAGCACGGTTATTTTTTAAAAAATCATGACAAGGTTTTCATATGAAAAGAAACAGATTTTAAGGTTAACAAAAGAGGGAGGGGTGAAGTGGAGAGGGAAAGCCATAGGCTAGAGGGTAGGTAAGTGTTTACTTTGATGAAGAGGAAGACCACATTCTACCAGAGGGAAATGGGAGAAAAGGACGGGGAGGGAGACAGAATAAGCCATAGGGAGATTTGATAAGTTGGTTAAAATGATGAATGCAAAACAATGATTTGATATGTAAACCCCCATATAATTTACAATAAAAATAAACAATGAACATATCTCCACATTTAAAATCTCTGGGCTCAGCAAAAACATAAAATTAGAACTAAATCATGCATCTTACAAACCTGAAAGCAGTCCTGATCTTGCCCTCTAATAAACAGTCGTAAATGTTGAGTTATAGATGTAGAATTATTTCTTAGAGCTAGCTTTTGAAGCCTAAAAACAATCACATATTTTAATAAGAACACAGTGTTCCACTTGGGATATTGCTACAATTATATAAACAATCAATGAATATTCAGAAATGAACTGATCACACATGCTACCTTCACAACTTGAAGTTCTGCCACCACAGTTCCAGAACTCCGCATTTCTGAAACCACGGGTTTAAAACCCACCTTTACCAGAGGAGCCTATTGGCTTAATTTCTTTTTAGCTGCTTTTCTTATTTATATAGTAATATAGGGTAACACTGTCTTATAAAACATCAATCAATGAAAATCTAGATTAAGAAATGCATTGTATTATTAAGTCATTATCACACCTAACACAAATACTAGCTTTCACAGATATACAGTCTTAGGCATATTGCTCAGATTTTTCACTCCAACAAGCTCATCTGCATAAAGTACAATGCAAGTAGAATGGACAAATGATTATCAGTCAACTGTTAGTAAACAAATCCTTCAGTCTTTTAAAGTATATGAACATTTCTTCACTGAAAAATAAATAATGCACTTAATAAACTATATAAATTGTGGTCCACAAAGTGTTAGAAGGGAAAGGATTTGGAGTTCCCCACCTAAGAATAAAATCCAAGACCAACTGGCAATTCTGCACTATGCACCTTTTTTTCCCCCCAAAAAAATAAATCAAATAAACTTTATTGACTTAGCAAAATCTTGTAATCTTAGCTTTCCAAACTTCTTCCTTTCATTGATTTATTTAATAATAAACTTTTCTGTCCTGGTAGCATTGTGGTTATACATTGGGCTGTGAACAGAAAGGCCTGTAGTTCGAAATCACCAGCCATTCTTTGGGAGAATGATGAGACTTTCTACTTCCATAAAGAGTTACAATCTCATCAAGTCCATGGACAGTTGTACGCTGTCCTACACCGTCACTATGAGTTGAAATGAACCCGATGGCAGTGTGTTTTCTTTTCTTTTTTTTAAATTTTAATCAATTTATTGGGGCTCATACAATTCATCACAATGCATAGATCAATTGTGTAAAGCACACCTATACATTTGTTGCCCTCATTATTCCCAAAATTCGCTT